GTCTCATGCCTGTCGGAATGGCTAAAATTAAAAATACAAGAAACAAGTGGTGAGGATGTGGAGAAAAAGGAGCGCTCATGTACTGTTGGTGAGAATACAAACTGGTGCAGCCACTGTGGAAAACAGTATGAAGGTTCTTCAAAAGATTCAAAATAGAACTACCATATGACCCAGTAATTCCACTACTGGGTATTTACCCAATAAATATGAAAACACTATTCAAAAAGATATATATATATATGTTTATTGTAGCATCATTTACAATAGCAAAAGTATGGAAGCAACCCAAGTGTCCATCAATAGATGAATGGATAGATAAGATGTAGTGTATATATACATGTATACAATGTAATATTACTTAGCAATGAAAAAAAATGAAATCTTGCCATTTGCAAAAACATGGGTGGATCTAGGGGATATAATGCTAAGTGAAATAAGTCAATCAGAGAAAGACAAATACCATATGTTTTCACTCATATGTGGAATTTAAGAAACAAACCAAATAAAGAAAAAAAGACAAAGAAAAAAACAGACTCTTAAATATAGAGAACAAATTGGTAGCCACCAGAGGGGTGGGGAGATGAGCAAAATAGTTGAAGGGGGTTAAGAGTACACTTACCATGATGAGCCCTGAGTAATGTGTAGAATTGTTGAATCACTATATTATACACCTGGAACTAATATAACTGCATGTTAATCATAGTGGAATTAAAAAATAAAAGAAAAAAGAAACAAAACCACGGAGTATGATCAAATGTGATAAAGTGGTCAGAGCAGTTGAACCCATGTGAGTTAGCCAGTGGGAGTAAGCTACTTGGAGAGAGTAGGCCCGGTTTACGGTAACTGCTTCTTGGATAGGTTAGCTTTCTGCTGATCGAAAATACTAAGCAAATCTGTGATCTTTGGTTGAATTTTTGACCAGAAGTGCTTTTCTTATTAAATTTCAACATACTTGTTTAAGAATCTCAACCTCTAGAGACTCTATCCGTAGGATGGCAAAGGAATATGTATTTATATATTTTTAAAGAGTAATTAGGATTTACATTGTTTAGATTGACACCTTAAATTATTCGTTTACCATGTACTTAAAATATTTTGAAGAAGTTACTGCTTTTGGGGTCCCTGGGTGGCTCAGTCGTTAAGCATCTGCCTTCAACTCAGGTCATGATCTCAGGGTCCTGGGATCGAGCCCCGCATCAGGCTCCCTGCTCTGCGGGAAGCCTGCTTCTCCCTCTCCCACTCCCCCTGCTTGTGTTCCCTCTCCGTTGTGTCTCTCTCTGTCAAATAAATAAATCTTTAAAAAAAAAAAGTTACTGCTTTTGATGTGCATTTTGAAATTTCTTTTGCTCTGTAATGACATTTGTGGTACATTGTATACAGTGTTAAGAACTGCTTTCTTCATTGAAATCCTTTCATAAAAATTTATGTTTACTTAGCTTAATCAAATATAAGCAATACACCCAAGGAAATATTTGCTATTTTAATCTATTACAAGTAAATAGATTACATTCAATAATTTCTATAGCTATAACATTTTTAAAAAGGCATAGGTATCAAAAGAGCTTTAATCATTCTGAAAAATACAAAAAGTTAGAGTCCCATTTTTTGACCTGTAAAATACTCACTTCCTAACTCCTCTGACCCTGTTTGCAGCTCTTTGTATTGTTTTGTTCATCAGCTATTTCTCACTGAATTTCTGCTGCCAACCAATGTTAAACAGGCTGCATATCAAACGATTTAGCCTCTCAGTGCTCTACTTTTCCAACAGCAATGGCATCTATCATTTTATTTAATTTCCCAGTAAGCAGCCAGGGAGTTATTTCTGATTCTCTTCAGCTCCCAACTTTTGATCATACTCAACTCTAAATTCTGTTTCGCATTTTTCATTTACAGTGTCCAAACCCACTCCTTTCTGTTGTTACAGTGGTCAGTCTCTTTGTCCCCATTCTTATTGTTGAACCTATAATAGGACAAATCTCCAAGCCCAATTCTGCTTTATTACATAAATGAGATTAATAACATTGAACTTAATTATCCAACCTTTTTAATACTATAAAACTTCAGAGGTTGAAAATTTGTCACATCAAGTCTCTGTTTTGTTACTCTGCCCATATTGACAACCAAGGATTTATTTTTACCCAACTTGCCCATTCTTGCAGTTCTGTTTACCATTTTTCCCCCAGATATATCACACATGTAGAAGTGGTTTTAATATAGTCCACATCCTTAAATAATTGTATCTAGCAAATGTACATAATTCTGTGGTTTAACTGTGCTACCTATGAACTCAGTTGATACAGCAGGCTTTATAATTCCCATCATCACTGTTTTACATTTGGAGAAAGTGAAATTCACAAAATAAGTTGTACTTCAGACACAGGCCAGAATTGATTCTGAAGCTGTAAATATGTTTATAATTTTTTAAAATTCTAAAACATGACTTTACTTCAGTTTGCTTTTAAAAACAAATACAGGTTTAAGATTTAACAATATTGATGTTAATTTTAATTGTTATACTTCAAATGATATTAAGTTGTGATAGATGAATGTGCCTTTCTAGTAATTTCAAACAATAATTTGATTGCATGATTTCACAGCTGAAAGCCATTATAGTGCTTTGATTTCCTGATGACAGGAACATAAATACAGAAAGAATTCAGATTATTTGTTGTGTTATAAAAATACCTATTACTAAAACTTATCTGGTACATTTTCATGTGGGCTAGGAAATCCGTATTAAGATATCCAACTACTTTCTATCCCTTGATATGACTTGGATAAATATTCATCAGCTATGTCCTAATCATATTTCATATGTTTCCTTTGGTGTTATATTTGTACACTAGTTAATATTGTACATATTGTTATACCATATTTGCATTGTATTGTATTTGTATAATATTTTGGAGAATTGTAAAGACTCAGAAGACCAGGTCTGAGTTTTTAAGGAATTATTCAGAACTCTTGTAATACTAAAAACTATAGGGAAACATAATTTAAGTCAAGCCTATGTTTCTCAGATCAGGTTATTTTTTAAATGCATTTTTTCTCAGGGGAAATTGGAGGGAGAGATGAACCATGAGAGACTATGGACTCTGAGAAACAAACAAGGTTTTAGAGGGGAAAGGGGAGGGGGGATTGGTTAGCCCGGTGATGGGTATTAAGGAGGGCACGTACTGCATGGAGCACTGGGTGTTATACGAAAACAATGGATCGTGGATCACCACATCAAAAACTAATGATGTATTGTATGGTGACTAACATAACATAATAAAATTTTAAAAATTAAAAAAATGCATTTTTCTCATTATAAGACAAATATATATTTATCATAATATTGCAAAGACATAGAAACACAAAAAGAAGAAACTAAAATTACCTGTAGTCCCTCTGTTCAGATAAAACCACCAAATTTTGGTCTTAACAATTATTTTTCCCAACAAATAAAGCAGTGTTGGTGCACAGTGGGTCTTAATAAATATAAGAAAATTAATAAGTGAGTAATTACTGTATGAATGATGGATTGTAGTATAAGCCCTAACAATTGGTTTTGGTTTTTTTTTTCTTTTTGTAATGCAAGTGCCCCACTTAAACCTTGATTGTCAAAGTGTCTACTTCAAAGATGGCTATTTCTGATAAACACATTGTTAGCCATAGTAGACTAGATAAAGGTCCAGGCCACCTCCCCTGACTGAAGCTCTTTTGTTTTAGAGATCTTGGTTGATTTCAATTACTGACCATTTGGGCCACTTGTTTTTTCTCTCCCGATGCTTTTAATTCTTATTCTTATTTTTTAAAATGACCAATAAAGAGTGAGCCCACAAAACCTTAGGCTTCCACCTTCAACCCCAATAAGAGCAGAACCCCAGCATTGTGATTGCTAGCTCTCTCTTTTTCTCTCTCTTTCTACCTGTGACCTCAGTGTGTGGCCCCCAGGTGTGCTGTATAATTTGCAGGTCTTAGAAGGAATAAACTTTTAATTTTTTAAAGTCTCCTGATGGCTATTGCTGAAGGGCATCTTGTAATCATAAGAACCACAACATTGGTTATGGAGAGGCTGAGACCAGCACAAAATATTGATATACACCCATATGAATTTTTAAAACAAACCTAAGATCATAGAGTAGGCATTGCTTTTAACCTTTTTTCCCCACTTACTGAGATACCTCCAGCAATTATACACATTCAGTATTCTAGTATACCTGTCAAATTATTAAATGATTTAAATAGGTTAAGTATCATTTTAAGACCCACATCATCTGAAAATCTATGAAAAGAGGTCACTTTAGCATTTTTTGAATTAGCACACCATACCTGTCATTGATACTGCCCTGCTTCTAACCTCTACTGGATCCCTACAAGTCCAGACTGTTCCACAATTGGAGGCAATCCATCCTTCCACCACTACTGACTTTATTCCCTGACCTCACACCAGTTTCCTCCTAAGAAATTATTTACCATTTCCCAGCAACGCTAAGCTCTTTCACTGTGGGAGCCTTGCCACACGCTTTTCCTTCTGCCACAAATGCTAGTCTCCGCTCCTCCTTCCTGAGAACACACATGCAGCCTTCCAAATGCAAATCAAAGGTTTCACTCCTGGATCCTTTGTCAGTGACCTTCAGGAGTCAGCACAAATTACAAAGAGTAAGTCACCTAATAGAAACGGAGAGACCTGAAATTTTAAGTCAACAGAAAGAAAAAAGGAACATTTTGATTTGCAGAGGCAGTCGAAACTCTAGACAAAATTATTTCCCTGTTGTTCCATTAATAAGAATAAGTCATCTGAGGGACGCCTGGGTGGTTCAGTTGGTTAAGCAGCTGCCTTCGGCTCAGGTCATGATCTCAGGGTCCTGGGATAGAGTCCCGCATCGGGGTCCCTGCTCAGTGGGGAGCCTGCTTCTCCCTCTCCCTCTGCTTGTGCTCTCTCTGTCAAATAAATAAAATCTTAAAAAAAAAAAAAAGAATAAGTCATCTGAGTCAGTACATTCTTTTCTCTTTAGGAAACAGTGGCATTTAATTCTTCTCTTCTGAGACCCCGAGTGATTGGAGAATGGATTGGTCGAGAAGAGAATGATGCTGACCCACTAGCCGCTGAAATGCTACAGCCCCCAGTTCCAAGAAGTAAAAATGAAAAATGGGAAAATGAAGATAATAGCTCTAGCCCTGCAGGAAGGTGAGATGAGATGCCTTCTAAGATTCTGAATTTTGTTGATTGTTAAAAGCTAACAGGGAAATAAATCCAAGGGCATGATTTTGATGAAATAACTTAGCAATTTTATGTAGAAAATTATGCTGGGTTCCACATGAGATAAAAATTAATTTCCCTTTTAAAATTAAAGTTTTACTAGATTGCTTTTAGATTTTGGTTTTAATTTTTTCTTTATATCTAAGAAAATCACCATCTCTTTGCTACTAAAACCAAATAGAGAAATAATTTCAAAGACATAGATTGTCAGTCAAGACCCACTATAATGCTGGGCAGGGAATGGCTGACTATTAAGAACTGGAGATGAAGGAGCTTCTCATTTACCAGAGAGATGTAGTTGATCAACAAGAAGAAAACTATTTATAATAGACCACATGAAGCAGAGTTAATGTAGAATAAGAGAGAAAAACTTCCGTTTAGAACCATTTAAATTTAAGTTGGTAACTATGATTGAACATAATTCTTTTCATTTTCTTTGTTTAATTTTGGAAGCATTTATGATTTTTAAATTTGAAAGTTTCATATTTATTAGAAAAAAGTATATCCAGAACAACCTTTTTCTTGTTTTGTAACACCGACTGCAGTGAGTAAAACCTCAAAATGAAAACTTCCACAAGGAAGTTGGAGTGAAAAAGCATTATGGAGGCACGGCTTACACGAGCCTGAGAAAATGGATTTAAATGCTCATGAATTGAATGTAAGAGAGCCACAACTTTCTTTGGGTGCTGCTAGCTGACCACCACAGAAGAGTTTTTCCTATGCATAGCATAGCCACAGTAACTTTGTATTTCCTACATTAAATTTGGCAGCAACCAATAACTGTTCTTTCTCAAGGAGAAAATTGTATTTTCTACAATGTAATAGCTTTAGGGGGGGGGGTGTTTACTTTGACTTATCACTTGGCTAGAAGGAAGGAAATTCAGAATACTCATTAATGTGCTTCAGGCATATAGAAAATTGATTCTGTTTCCATGAGAAATAACTTTTAAATTATTTAAATAGTTGAAGTGTCCCATGTAAGGAGAAGAAAGCCATTTTAAAAAATCCATTTACCTTCTTTTGTGAAATGCCAGATCAATTTCACCTGTCAATGAAGGTAATTTTATTTTTAATACCAGACTTATGAAACCCTCTAGACCTTCATCTTTAGTCATTGCCAGATCTTTAACGTAAAATAGAGAAATGTCAACTTTCATTTTGCTTTCATTTAGTCATAATAGTAATCGGAGCTATTTATTGCAAATGTTAGTGCTTCTATTTTCTTCCTAGCTTCAGTGAGCTCTGATTCCCTCTTGAATACCCAATAAAGGGGAATCTTTCCTTCAATCCAAGTCAAATCCCTTTCCCAGAAAACTCAACCCATGAAGACCTCTCTCAAGTATTTGTTATGAAAAGTTTTTCTTAGTGTTACTGTTCTCTATCTTTAAATCATGAATTGAGGTATTCTCTATGAAATGAAGACAGGTGAAATCCCACCCCGATGCCCCATCAGAGCATAAGAGAATGCATGCATACCTGAACTTAGTTTAAAGAATAGCAATAAACTATGGGTTAGAAACGGTATCTCTCACATCTTCTAATACCAAACAGGATTCCGAATTTATACAAGGAACTGACATAGCATTAGATTTGAATTGGATGAATAAAAATGGATTGGGAGAAATTTTTTAATGACTCTAGAGGCTATAACTAGAGCATTAGCTTTTGCCTTTAAATAGTAATGAACTTGTAGTATAACGGTCTTAAACATTAACAGGCTAAGTGGTATTCTAGGCTTTGGAAGGAGAAGATTTAATTTTCAAGGATGACTTCTTCCATTTTTCTCTTCCCTACTGGGCCTGGTGCATTGTCATTACCAATAGACATCTGTTGTGTGAGTGAAGGAGGCACATAGAAGGCTGTGAGTAGACATCTGCTAAATAAAGCTTATTTATAAGAAGGGTTGTTTATAGTCTATCCTAACTTTTTGCCCTTTCCTATCACAGTTTTTCCTGTTGTTAATTGCTCAATTTGAATGGCTGTTATTACAACACTCCATCTTTAGTACATAGACAACTTTTCTCCTTAGGTCCTGCATATGGGACATTGTATGAAGAGGGTCAGCAACTTTAGTACACAGAGCTGTCACCTGAAGGGTTAAGTGCTGGTTAAAATGAAAGCAGTTATGAGGGCAATATGGAGAAACTAATAGGATAAGACAAGAGTGACTGACGTGGGGTTCCTGACCCTTCCATGGTCTCTGGATGGACCCAAGAGATCTGTGAATCTCTTGAAATTAAATTATGTGGACAAGATTCTGTGGACATGGGCATTTTCCTGACACATCTTTCTTAGATTTTTCAAAAGGTTCTATTAAGTAAGTTTAAGAAAGAAATTAAAGCATCTAAGCAAGAAAACAGGAATTTATAAAAGAGAGAGGTGAATACATTGGGGAATAATTGAAGGCTTTCTGATACTACCAATTGGCATGAATTGCTATGGCTTATCTAGCCATTTAGTGGGAAATCCTATGTGTTTATTGCAATTTAGGGATATTAAAAATAATCACATATTGATAATGTAACTGTAAATAAAAATTGAGTGTAATAGATCTATATAATTTTGTTTTAAGCTATCTTTTTTTTCTATTTTAAGCCATCTTAATTAAACTTTGCAATAGCTGGGTAATGGGTTTCTTAAAATTACTAGCTAAATTGTAATGTGAATTTGTAAATAGGCTTATCAAGCCTTGAAAGCCTGATGAAGCTCCTCTAAGCCTAACCACTTTATTAAAGCAAGAATAATATCAATAAATATTATAGATCTGGTGAATTGGCTTTGTTAAGTGAGCATTGTTATTAGATGGTAAGTATGCCATAAAATGAATAGAAAATCTTACAATTTAGAAATATGTATTAAATATTAAAATAAAAGCTAACTTCACTTTCCATTAAGAAATGTTTCTTTTCATTAAAGCTCCTAATTTCTTATGATGTATCTGTTAACAAAGCCTGGAAATGTTCTCCTTCTTTTAGAGCTTCCTCAATTGGCAGCAAAAGACAAATAATAAACAAGCAAATATACAAATATATACCATAAATTCAAGTAGTGATAAGTGGCAAGATGGAAAATAAACCAGAATAAGAAGGAAGAAAATTAATAAAGGGCACTATTTTATATAAGAAGTCCAAGAAAAGGGGCGCCTGGGTGGCTCAGTCGTTAAGCGTCTGCCTTTGGCTCAGGTCATGATCCCTGGGTCCTGGGATCGAGTCCCACATCGGGCTCCCTGCTCCGCGGGAAGCCTGCTTTTCCCTCTTTCACCCCCCCCCCGCTTGTGTTCCCTCTCTCGCTGTGTCTCTCTCTCTCTCAAACAAATAAATAAAATCTTTAAAAAAAAAAAAAGTCCAAGAAAAAAGAACCTTAATATTGTCAGATTTTGGCTATTTTGGACATGATAGAAAATATGTAATACATATGCCAGAAACTGAATTAAGTTTACTAATTTAGGGATATTCTAAATGTAAATTTTAAGGAGAAAGAATATTGATTAATCAAAAATTAATCTGTCAAAGGAATCAAAGAACAGAGGCCTTAAAAATATCTAAAATATATATTAAAGAATGTACCTTGTGACTCACACATTTCTTTTTTAAAGCCAGAAAGTATGTAACTAAGTCATGCATTTATTTCGGAATGTTGATGAGGTCATTTTGATATGTTCAAAATTTGTTCTTTCTCATTTATTAATTTATTTCTTTAGGAAATACATATCCTAACTCAAGTTATTATTTTATGAAACACATTGCTAGTTACCTATGGACTCATAGACTCATAGGTGGTCTCTTACGAGACAGGCAACATTTTGGACTTAGTGTCTAGGACTCATAGCCTAGCACTATCTTCATGACCAAACCATGTATTTTCATGAGACTCAGGAAAACACTTGCTTCAACCTTCATGAAATGATCCTGGTCATTGTTGGCTGTTGAATAGGAGTTATGCATTTAAAAAAATTTTTTTTTAAGATTTTATTTTGACAGCACAAGCAGGGGGAGCAATAGAGGGGGAGAGAGAAGCAGGCTCCCCGCCGAGCAGGGAGCCCAACACGGGGCTCGATCCCAGGACCCTGGGATTATGATCTGAGCCAAAGGCAGATGCTTAACCATCTGAGCCACCTAGGTGCCCGGGAGTTATGCATTTATAATCTGCCATTTGTTCCTTATCTTCGACATCCCAATCCTACATAGTTTTCCTTTTTCTCTTTCCCTGCCAATATATTTCCCTCGATTTTCATATCTGTCAAGTTGTAAGACTCATATACATCTTCTTAAATTAATTCTTATTTAGATTATTAAAAAAAATGGGGTTCAGGAAGAAAAAGTGAATATGTGCTAGATACTAGGTGAGACCAATATGAAAAAGAACATCCCAGATTCAAAGTACTTACTTTCAAATGAGGAGAATGACAAGGAGATATGTCTTATTTCTCTAGTACTGTACCCACAATCCCTGGTCTATAAAAAGCACTTAATAAATGTCTGCTAAATTAATTATAAAAACACCACATCTAGACATGTTAAAAAAAAAAAAAAAGACAGCTCTTATGCATAAACCAAAATGCAGCAATTCAGTGTGAAACTTTTTATGATCTCTTCAACAACCTGGGCCTTATTGCAAAGAGAGTCCTTTGATTTCTGACTAGAGTCGAGAGGAAGGGCACAGATTCTGCCTGCTAGGCTGCAGTGGTGAACTAAACAAGCTTAGGAGATGGGTCAAGAGAGAAATAATCCAGTTTTCCACCAAAATGAGCACCTGGAGTCAGATAAAACTAATACTTACCAACCTGTGTTCAGAAACAAGAATATGAAACAAAAAAAGCAGCGTCAGGCACCCAGGGAAGAGTGGGGTCAGGAGGAGGGGAACAATGGTCAGAATGTAGGCCATCAGGAGGGGGAGGAAGGTTCCACCTAGATAGGTAAGCTGGGGAGGGGGGTAGTCACGTTAAACCATCCTTTTCAATCTGATCTGCTTTAGAATTTATCTTTCTGAACCAAAGTAAAATGCAGTCCTGGAGTGTATTCACCACATTGAAGTATTAACTGCTCTTCTTTTTCATAAGGCCCCTTTCTGATTCTCTTTCTTTCTATGTGGGATATTACTGCTCAAGGAAACACATGTAAATATCTAGGATGCTGCATGTTGTGTTCATTGAGCACATATGGTATTAATTACCATTTAGTGGCTGCTGTCAGGGCTTTATAACTCTTACTACATTTCATCCTCATGAAACATTATTATCTGTATTTTAGGAATAAGGAAACTAAGTCCTGAAGCAGTTGCATCAGTCCCAAGATTGTACAACTATTAAGTAGCTGAGCCAGTCTATCTTGCTGCAAATTCTGTGCCCTTAAGTGCTTTGCTATGCCACCTTTCTTCAGAAAGGAGTTCTAAGAATCCCCTTATCATTAAAGTTTAGGTTCGAGGTTGGGATGAGAGGGGGCCCAGAGCCCTAAGTGCTCTTAGAAAGACCCTGCACCCCACCTATCCCCATCCCACTCACCACTTGTCTGCAGTAAGAGTCCTGCTTCCCTGAGGCAGGGTAGTATTTTCTCTCTAATGTTGTAGTTTTCACTTCTACAGTCTATAGGTTACGGAGCTGGAAAAGAGGAAGGTATCATCCTTGCTCCCCTTTCCTGCTTGTGGACCTTGCTGTCTCCTTTTCCCCTAAAAAAAGTCTCTGGTTCTGAATTCCATGTTTTACACATGGTAATCTTCTACCACTTCTTGTAGCAATAATTTATCAATTCCCAGGTCATTTCCTTTTTCCTAAATATGCAAGCATCCGGCTCAACTGACACTTTCCCCAACACCCTTCCTATCTTGATGAAGTTAATATCCACATTGATGATTCTTCCCCAAACCTAGCCTCTCCTTCCTTTGCCTGCACTTCACCACTGATCCTGAATTCCACCCTACTTCAATCACTTATTCCCTCTGTTATATCTAAGCCTCATTATAGTTAACTGCAAACCCTAATGTCAATTTCCATATATTTCACTCTCTGGCTACACCTCCTGTCTTTCTAGTTCGTTCCCTCTGGTACCCAGCTTTAACTGGGACCCAAACACACTGGTTCCACTGAGTTTTCCTTGCCACTCATCCAGTTTTTATTTTTGGCTCATTATTGTGATCTATTTATTGAATATATCCTAGTTCCCTTACCTCTCTTGTCCTTTGTTTTCCTTGTGTGGTAAAACTATCCTATTTAAATCTAACTCTTTGCCTATTCTGTGGCTGAACTGGCATAGACTGGAGAACACATGGCCACACTGATGGGTGTCACTGTGAATTCGTGGCCACCAAACTCCAGAAAGTCATTGGTCCTGCCCAAAGATAATCTGCATTCACCTAGTCTGTTCACATGTCCATGCTCCTCAATGATGATTGCATGCCTTTTCTTGTCTCCTCAAACCTCCAGCACTTCTCCTCAGTCCTCATGTTCAACTGATGACCCTTCCAGGAATGTAAATGTCATAGTCACTCTGGGAAATAGTCTGGGAGTTTTATATAAAACTAACCATGCAAATACTATATGACCCAGCAGTTGCACTCTTGGGCACTTGTCTCAAATAAATGAAAACTTACGTTCACACAAAAGAATGTATACAAATGTTCATAGCAACTCCATCATAATAGCCAAAAAACTTAACCTAGGTGTCCTTCAATGTTTGAATGGTTAAATAAACTGAAGTATATCCATGCCATGGGATACTACAGAGCAAAGAAAAGGAATGGACTATTGATACATGAAACAGCATGAATGAATCTCCAGGGATTTAGACTGCCTGAAAAAGCCAATCTTAAAATTGCATGATCCCATGTATATAATATTCTAGAAATGACAAGATTAAAAGAATGGAGAACAGACTAGTAGTTGCCGGGGATTAGAGAAGGGGAAGAAGGCATATGGCGGAAAGCAAGAGTGGCTAGAAAAGAGCCTTGTGGTATTTGAAATGGTATGTATCTTGATTCTGGTGGTGGATATATGATACACAAACCTACACAAGTACTAAAATTACCTAGAACTAAATACATGCAGGCATATACACACAAATGAGTACAATTAAAATGGGAAATCTGAATAAGATTGGAAAATCGTATCATTGTCAGGATCCTGGTTATAATATTGTATTCTAGTTTTATAAGATAATGTTATTGAAGGAAACAGTGTAAAGAGTGCACAGGATCTCTCTGTATCATTTCTTAGAATTACATGTAAATCTATATTATTTCAAAGCCAAAAAATCAATTAAAAATGTTAGTGATCTGTTGAAAACACCTTGAGTTTTTTTTTTTAAAGATTTTATTTATTTATTTGACAGAGAGCGAGACAGCGAGAGAGGGAATACAAGCAGGGTGAGTGGGAGAGGGAGAAGCAGGCATCCTGCTGAGCAGGGAGCCCGATGCGGGGCTCAATCCCAGGACCCCGGAATCATGACCTGAGCTGAAGGCAGATGCTTAATGACTGAGCCACCCAGGCGCCCCCACCTTGAGATTTTTGAGAGTCCACCTCCCCCAACAATCTTTCAGCAAAGGGCATTAGTATCCACTGATGATTCTTACCTGAACAGTTATTATGTTGGTGGTTGCAAGATGGTGATTTTTTGATTCTGTCTTTCCTTCTACATTTATTAACTAGGATTAATGTGGAAAATAAAAGCTTTTTATCCATCCCTATTTCCCCTGGCCTTCTCTAACATATTCACCATAACTTAAGAGGTGAACCAGTGAGGTAGGGCTGATTGATCTTTGCCCACTGATGACATACAATGTCATTTTGCTGTTTTCCATCGTCTTCTTAGTGGTAAACCTGGTACTTCTATTAAGACAGTTTGAAATGTTCGGTCTGTGCCCTGAAATTTATCTGGTTGGTTCTATGTTTTTGTTTTTTACCAAGCTACCTCTGCATTTTGGCCTGGTGGCAGTGGGGACAATTCATTTAACCCATTTGCCTTATGGGCCCTCCTTCTGAATATAGAAAAGATTATCTTTCCATCCTGCTTGGGGAAGACTTCTTCTACATATCATGTCTTTTTCTTTCATGGGGTGACATTTGGCATTTCCTTCCTTTGGGCGATAACATGAAAAGAAATTGGATTACAGAGAAGAGAAAAACTTTGGGACAGTTTTTGAAACTATATGTGATTGCTCTTTGGACTTGTAAGTTGTCTAGTCAGACACTGTCTTGAGAAGTTGGGAGAGAGAGAACCATGAAAGATAGCATTTACGCAAAGGAGCCCAGCTTTATCACAAAGGAACTCTTCCAAATTTACAAAAACTCTCTAGACTGGAAGAAACTGAGAAACATTTATATACCAGTTCTGGATCCATCCTTTCTTTTACCTCATCCTACCCCAAGATCTAGGCAGCATGATAGAACAATGAGGAAATTTATTTTAATCATAGAAATTAAAATTTTTGGGTGTGTGGGTGGCTCAGTTGGTTAAGCGGCAGACTCGATTTCAGCTCAGGTCATGATCTTAGGGTCCTGAATCGAGCCCCAGGTAACGCTCTGTACTCAGTGGGGAATGTGCTTGAGGATTCTCTCTCTGCCTCTGCCCCCACTTGTGCTCTCTCTCTCAAATAAATCTTTTTTTAAAAAAATTAAAATTTTCGGGGCGCCTGGGTGGCTCAGTTGGTTAAGCGACTGCCTTCGGCTCAGGTCATGATCCTGGAGTCCCGGGATCGAGTCCTGCATCGGGCTCCCTGCTCGGCAGGGAGCCTGCTTCTCCCTCTGACCCTCCCCCCTCTCATGTGCTCTCTGTCTCTCTCATTCTCTCTGTCTCAAATAAATAAATAAAATCTTTAAAAAAAAAAAATTAAAATTTTCATTTAAAATAATCTTGTCAGAGGTGCCTGGGTGGCTCATTCAGTAAAGAGTCTGACAATGAATTGTGTGGATCACTACATCAAAAACTAATGATGTATTGTATGGTGACTAACATAACATAATAAAATAAAATTAAAAAAAAAAAAGAGTCTGCCTTCGGCTCAGGTCATGATCTTGGTGTCCTGGGATCAACCCCCACGTTGCACTCCCTGCTAAGTGGGGAGCCTGCTTCTCCCTCTCCCTCTGCCCCTCCACCCAGCTTGTGCTCTGTCTCTCTCTTTTTCTCAAATAAATAAAATCTTTAAAAAATAATCTTGTCATAGTATGTTAAAATAGTTATCCCATTACGTTTGTTTTTCTTGACATGGATTTATTTGTAAGTCAAAGAATTTCATATAATAACCTGGATTTTCTGCCTCATCTTTTAAAAAAAAATCAAAAATCCATTAACAGTGGGCTTTCATTATGGCATGGCGACAATTGGTAGGAGCTGATTAGCACCTCCTCCCTTAAATGGGGCAGGAGTTTCAGTTTGTCATATTTCTCATCTATACCCACTTGCAATATGGTTAATAAGGTACCAAAGGATGTCTAGGAAAGAAGACAGTCTATATTTCCATTATCCTTAGGGAAAATATTACTAATATGCCTATAATTTTACATAGCAAAATAATCGAATGAAAATTTGGTTGTAGATTTCTTTATTTACCACAGCTAATTGAGATAGAGTTGTCATCACTGAAAACTAACATTTAAATATTTCTTCAGCTTAAAGGTGGAGCCCAAGACTAAAGGATTAAAACAACAGCAACAACAACATAAGAAACTTCTGGCAGCAATGCTCTCTCAAGATTCTTTTGAGTCTCTCCACAGCCCTACCCCATCTGTAACAGAAGAAGATATTGATAATGAAGATGATGCAATGGAATTGCTGGGTAATTTTAAAAATTAATAATTTCTCTTTTTCTTCTTCTCTGGCATTGTAAAAATGTGTAGTGATTAAGAGATTTTAAAGTTTTTGAATAGTTTTGTCTTAGGGGAAAGAAATCGTTTAACACATACTTTAAACGTTAGCCTTTCACAAAGTTGCATGTAAGAACTAAGTTGAAATCACCTAAGCATGTGAAGTATTTATTAGACTGTATTTTGTGCTTTGTATATGCAGCACTTTACCTTCTGACTCCTTACTCAAGCTTTATTCTATGTGCAATTGTGATAAAAATTCAAGTCTGTCTGCTTTATTCTCTGATTATGATTGCCTTGGTCACATCTTTTGTCTATAAAATATATCCAAATACATATTTCAGCCCTCATCCCAAGATAGTCCCTTGTTTCAAGGATGTTTTAGAAAAATACAGTAAAATTTAGAGACGCAGATAGTAAATTAGTGTTTTATGTCTTCCATAAGTTAGAGGAGAGTTTGCAAGATTTCAGTGTTTTTATAGGCTTGTTACTTTCATGAAAAACCTTATTAGTGTTGTATATATAGGGAACCCTTTATATCTTAAATGAAGTAAATGTATGTTTTTATTTCACCATAAATCTTTGGATAGTAGTTTTTTAAAATTGAACTTTCCTTTTATTCTAAGTCATTAACGCAATTTCCAAATACTTTGTAACCATGTACTGAAGTGAATAAATAATGTAATCATTTGAAAGCTGCAAATAAGTTTAACATAGAATAAGGAGTCCCAGAAATATACAGACATTTAAAAAAAATTTTTTTCTAAACCAGCTTCCTGGGTTTTAAGTGTTTAGGACAGTAAAATATTATCATGTTAAAAAATGGTATAGGTCTTCTTGCATAGACCTACAAATGTGTTATTTATTCAGTGATGGCAAGGTCACTGATGTTTTCTGATTTTATAATACTGCATTCATTCCAGCATTGAGGAGACTGTCATGGCATTTTCACTTCATGATGTTCATCTGGTTTTTTGTTTTTTTGTTTTTTTGTTTTTAAGAACAATGAAGTCTGGGTGTTTTTTTAAGGAATCTTATCTCCCCACTTCCAAATCATTAATGTGGCAGATGTGCCAGATGTTGTGGTACCCTCATTCAGCTTCAATTCAGCCAGTGTTTACTAAGTACTTACCATGTGCTAAGCACTGAGCTCAGTCCTAGAGATGTAAAAATAAAGTAATCTTGGATCTTGTTTGCAGGGACTTTACATTTCTAGTGTTTGAAATAAAAATGTAAATATATCATTCTAGTAGTTTTTGCGACAGCTGCCAATTTGATTAAGCAGACAGTTTAATGTAGGGATAACACCTAATGTGGAGGTAGGGGATGGTGACCAGGGAATGTTTCGTAGAGAAACTGATTCCGGTGGTGAGGTGAGTCCTGGAGGCCAAGTAGATGGAAGTTCAGCAGGCAAAGTGTGGTCATTACCCTTGTAGGTTTGTGCTTGTAGGAATGGACTCTTTTGCTATTGTGTTCCATAACTGTGCCTGTAAATTGTTCCTTTGCTTTGGTCAGTAACAGTGAAGGGGGCAAGGCTTGAACCATGACTGTCAATGGAAGGGCCAGGAGGTTGTTCATATCACATCGATGTTGGCTTTTTGGTACATCGACATTGGGTTGTGCGGGTAGTGTTCTTTCTCTCCCTTCCTTTACATGACAGCTCTTGGTCAGTTGATATCCACAGGAGGGCAATACACGTAACTTGCAAAGATAATCTTTTGAAGAAATGCAGGCATGCTCCGAATCACTTTGGATTTCCTGATAGCCTCAGGAGTATCTCATCAGAGTGGAGGAAATCATAAATTTCAGTGATGTTGAGGAGTTCTTTATGAAAACTTAGGTGTCACTCAGTGCTGATACCCCATAGATCTCAGCTCCTCTGAAGTTTCTAGTCTCCCAAGTTGAAGACCAGACTGTTAGGTTTTGGAGACTATCTAATGTGAACAGTTAATAGCTGGTCCTCATTTTTTTTTCCCATTTAGACATTTTAAATGTCTGAGCAAATTTAAGAATGAGAAATATTTGAGTTTGGACTTTATATCTCAGCATAGACAGCTGTAGTATACTAATGCTGGTCTCTAGATTATGAGATTTCTCTGCCATGACATAGGATGTTCCAAGTCCATTGGGCTATCCTCTAAAATAATGCCGTATGCAACCCTGTTGCCTAGTTGTCTCAGTGAATAAAGGTCATATAGCAGAAAATTGTACCCAAAAGATTGTTTTGCCCAGGAGTTCATTAATTATGTAAAGTGGTATTTGGATGTGAAATATATTTGTCTTTAAGACCCAAGTATACCTATCCATTCAATTATTTAGAAAATATATATTTAAAATATAGGTTCAGTTTTCTTCAAAAGTAGTGTATATAAATTCATGACTTAAAATTTTACTTATGATTTTATCTAAGATGATGGTTAATCTCTTACATGAAATCGAACAGATGTACGTGAAAAATTTCAGTTAATATAAAAGTTAAAACTTTTTTTCAGTCATGATATAGTAATGGATGAATGATTAATATGGATGAATATGGGTATAAAATACAATGATTATTAAGTTATTCAATTTTAAGACCGTATATCCTCAGTAGCCATGTATGTCTCTATTAGTATTTCAGTAGATTTCAGTCCCTACACTAATCAGTTAATGTGATATTGCTAAATCAATTTAGAAACTATATAATGCCTACTTTTCCAGCCCTTTTAATATTAGATTTCAATCATATTGTTTATAATTAAAGAATGTGAAGACAGTATTTTTTGAAACCCTGATCCCAGAGAAACATATGTGATTGTACATATTTGAGGAAAATAGAAATGCTAAGCTCCTGAAAATTTATTTGAAATCAAATTTTAGTACATAGAATCATTGTAAAAGGCAAGAGACATCTGGTATTTAAAATATCTTTTGCAAATCTGCAACATTGTGTAGAATGAGTTTGCTATAACTTATGTGTTTTCAGTGTATAACTTGTCTATATCAGGTATAACTGGCTAAAAATTTTATTATGCCCAAGAGTAGTCTGTACTCTTTGTGAAGTGATAAATAAATGAGAAGTATAATTATTAGTTCATGTCAAGGTAACAAAGGATTGTTCTTCAGTAAAACTGAAGGCGGAAAATAAGCCTTTTAGTTGAATAAATAGAAGTCAGTAAAAGTTCTTATCTTAATTTGTTTGTTAAGGAATTTACCATTGATAACACATACTGGTTAAGATTTAATTCTTCACGGTTGTTTAATTGTATGTTTTTGGATTTATATTCCAAGTGTATTGGGCATAGGAAAATATAGTACATACAGCATCTACAATTTTTAAGTAGATTAAATATTTACTGTAAGATTGCTTTAAATACTACTTTTAAATTCATAGCACAAAAGTAGTTTAAATGGAATTAATATATAACAGAATAAAATATCCAAATTTCTGGAATTTTAAGATATAACAATTTTAAGCACCACTGAAATTGGTGCTGTAATTACAGAAGACATTGAATAAAGTATCTGCCAACTCACCTCAAAGTAAGTAGTTCTCATCTTCAAATTTAAGGTATTCCCTAATATTTTAAACTATGTTGGAAATTAAGGATCACAATGATTAAATTTGCATATTTTTGAAAGTTATTAAAATCAATAATTTTTCAAAAGTAGAAAAACAAATTACAGTGGTACAGCAAGGGATTTATAAAAAGCCTATATGTATCTTTTACTTCATTAACCTTCACAGAAAATATGAGGAACTTCACTAATTTAAAAGATATTTCAGCTTTTAAATGTAAGCTCATTTTCATTACATGCATTTTTATTTTATTTTTGATGAAATGCTAATTGCAGTTATGTGTTTATCTTCTATATAATTTATACTCCCTTGAAAATATCAGAATTATTTGAAAGGCACAAGTATTATTTTTACACATTTTAGTATAAGATAATTACTTAAAAAAATTTTTTTTTGGCTTCTCTCAGAATTGATGAGGCAAATATCTAAAAATCACATTCCAGAGATGCTAAAAAAGGAAAGCAGCATTAGTCATGATTTATACTTTCTGATCTTAGAAAGTATAATCATATAAATTTAATTAATCATATAAAAATTAAAACTAACATTGTATTACCAAAAGCAAACAAGGTGATTACAAATCATCTTCTATATTTTATTTGTTTTAAATTTAGTAATTAAGAACAAGTATAATTATACTGCTATTCTTTGCAGAATACAGTAATTTCTAAATTTCTAAAATCCCAATATCTTACCAGATTATGTAAAACGTTTAATTTTCAAGAAGAACTCATTGCATTAAGGCAGTATTTTGGCAAATTCTTTTGCATTGTGACCAATCTTTAAAACTAAACATTTACAAAAAATAAAAAAAAATAAAATCTTTAAAAAAAATAAGTAAATAAAATTAAACATTTACTTTCTGTTCTGTTTTTTTTTTTTTTCCCAGTTGGAGGCTTCTTAAAGCAGAAAGCACCCATATTTACAGAATAAAAACATGTATTTCACCTAGTGAAAAATGCGGTCATTCAATGATGTTAGAAAAAGAGGGGAGAGGACCGTAAATGTTAAAAAAAAAATCTACCTACCTATCAATATACTTATTTCTAATGATATTAAGTATGTGAACTAGTCTAAAGCACACATAAACTTTGTTTCCTTTGAGTATTGATCATTGGGAATATCAGAACAAGAGAAGAATTATCACTTTAAATTGAAGATTCTTTTAGAAAAGATTCTTTTAAAAAGTGAGGGACTTTCCAAAATTAAATTTATGGATTCTTTAATATTATCTGTAAGGTTGCTTTAAATACTGCTTAGAAATTCATTCAGCATAGTACCAAAATAACTTAATATTAGAGATTAAAATATTCCGAATTTGTGGGGTGTTAAGGTACAGCGAATTTGAGGACCACTGAAGTCAGTGAAATCTAGATCATACTGAATAAAATAACACCCAGACCACCTCAATCTAAGTAGCTCTCTTTTTTAAATACAAGATACTCTCAGAAATTCCAGTAATTACACTGGCAGTTGATGACCACAGTTACCCAAACATTATAAAAAAT